GAGAGAGAGAGAGAGATAGCCATTTTGGCTCAAGCCGCGAGTGGTTCAAGGCCTGGGCCCAGAGAGAGAAGAAGCGAAGGCCTCAACTTGGAGGGGGAGAGACGAGCCAGAGTCCGCTCCCAGACTCAGCCATCGAGCTCGGGGGCAAGAGTGCCGCACTACTCGTCTACCTCTCGGGGGTTCGGACGGAGGACGTGTGGAAGATCGGACCCCCTCGGTGACCGCAGCGCTTCGAGGCGAGTGAGGGAGCTCCACCACAACTACCTGACGGCGTTCGGCGGCCTTTGCTTAACCTACCGAGGCGGAGCGATCGGGGACTACGAGAAGGGGAGATAAAGTACTTCAACGGTGAGTTCGTGACACTACCCCGACGGCACAGTGAAAGCAATCCTTGCCCACGTGGTTGGAACCATGAACAATACAGTACCCAGCATGATGGGGGGGGAGCAAGTTCCCGTTCCGATTGACGACGACGAGCCGACCGGAGAGAGGGGCCACGAAGGAGGGTCGCCGCACAAAAAGGGGCGCAGGAACGAGCAGAACCTCACTTTGGACATGCTCAAAGAGGTCCTGGCGGCGGAGAGGACCAAGGACAGGGCCCACCTTTCGCAAAGTTTGCAGGAAGTCAAGGGGGACATTGACCAGCTCCGCACCAGGATGGACTCCGTGGAAGGGGGGGTCACGCAACAGATGAACAATACGCTCACCATGCTCACGCGCATCACCAACAACTACGATGTCCAAGCAGCAGCCCTGACCGAGCTCAAGGAAGGCCAGAGGGGGATGGAAGAAAGGCTCCAAGCCCTGGAGAAGCAGCCCGCGGGGTCCGTGCCAGCCAGCACCGCAGACACTACCCCAGAAGGGGGACGGAGACCTGCCATCATTCTGGGGGGATGGCACCCAGACCAGCTGGCGGCGGACACCCTGAAAGCCGCCAAGGAGATCCTTAGGCAGCTGGAAGTTCCGCTCAACCACGAGGACATGTTCGTGCCGGGGGTCAGACGCGGCTACGCAATATTGCCGATAGTTCCCAAGCCGTTCGAGAGCGAGGACGACCGCCGAGCAAGGGTGCAGGCAGCCATCCAGCGAGTTAGGAGTGCCAACATGTCTTTGGGGCAGAACGAGCAAGGGGGGCTACGAAAACTTTGGATTGCTATCAGTCAGAGCCCGGAGCGACGCAAACGTGCAAAGTTGGCAGGGAAGGTGAAGAGAGCGATATTGGAAATGGGGGGGGACATCAAAGCCATGGACGTCGAGTTCGCCACCGGCACGCTGTGGATGGGGAGCGCAAAAATATGCAGCGCGACAGCAGAACGACCTCGAGATGCACAGAAAGCGGGGGCCGGTTGGGTAGACCTCAAGCTTCTCGCCAAAACCATGAAGAAGACGCTCAAGGAGGTGGAGGACGCGTGGGGGCCCAGGGAGCAAGAGCTCCAGTGACTATCAAAGGCAGCCACTCAGCAGTTTCACGATGGGGGGTGCCCCAAGGGCACAACCCAAACACTCCGTGCCGCTTCGTGGAATGTCGGGGGGCTCACAGCGCAACAAGCGTTGGAGCTACCCTGCCACTTCGTGGGGAGAGGCGACTTGCAAGCACTGAAGATACTCCTTCTGCAAGAAATCATTTGCGAAGTTGGGGTCCAGTTTCACGAACATGAAGGTTGGGTCATCGTCTTCGGGAAGCACAAGGGGGACTGGAGAGGTACGGGCATTGCGTACAAAGCAGAGGGCATGTCACACAGCGACAGCATCCTCCTTCACTGCGGGGTCGTCACCACTATTCGAACCAGGAGAGCACAAGGCAGTCTTCGGGTGTTGTCGGGACACATTCCACACCATGCAACAGTCGAACAGACCGAAGTCATCATGAAATCGTGGGAAAGCACATTGAGGAGGGCTAGAGTTATCGTGGGGGTCGGTGCCAACGAGCTCTTCACCGATGAGGAAGGAGATGGTCTTCGAGGGCATTCGGCGAGAGGGGAAGTTTTCCTGGGGTCCATGCTTCCCAGCGGGCTTCGAGCTCCGCCCCAGCAGCTGGAGATCCACACATACCACCCGTACAACACGGCACAACGCTCGAGAAGGCTGGACTACGTCTTCGTGCGGGGGGTCCACACGTTGCCGGGGGGCGTCGTCGTTGGCAGCCGACACATGGCTAGGTCAGACCACGACTTGGTCTGGGGGGAAGTCCACACACAGCCCGTAGCCAAGCCACCAAGGCCGACTTGGGGAGCTCGACGCTTCAAGCAGGGGGTCAACGTTACAGCTTTGGTGGCAGAGCCGCTTCAGCAAACTGACGTCCACCAGGCAGTCAAGGACCTTGCCCTCAACACTACAGTGCAGGGGAAGTACACGAGCAAGTTCCGCGAGAGCAACGACCTCAAACGCGCCAGGCAACAAGCACACGCAGCACCACCGGCAGAGGCGCGGACAGCGTGGAAAACAGTTAGCCGCCTTCGGAAGCAAGAGATGCGCAGTTGGCACTCCAAACTCGCGGATAGAGCCAGCCAAATCGACTGGTACGCCTGCCGATCCTTCCACCATCATTGCAAAAGGGAAGGGTGGCATCACAAGTTGACGGACGTGGGGGACTGGAAGAAGAACCTCACCACGCACTTCAGCAAGATCTTCTTCCAGGCTTCCCCGCAACGCACGGCCAAGCGCTTGGGGGACACGAGGCAAGCACTGGCCAGACTGTGCAAAGTCACCCCGTGGAAGCCATTCACGCTTGACGAGCTTCAAGTGGCAGCGGTGAAATGGAAGTCGGGGAAGTCGACTGGCCCAGATGCCATTACCCACGAGATCCTTCGATTCCTCATGAACGATGAACGGTGGGGGTTCAGGCTCACGCACATGATGAGTGATTTTCTCTATAAGGGGGAGCTCCCCGAGGAAATCCTCAGGGGTATCACGATACTCCTGCCGAAGACGATTGAGGATCCCACCGCATGGGGGGACACCAGACCGATCACCCTGAGCTCCTCCATACTAAAGTGGTTCGCGCAGCTGTTGCTTAAGCGCTGTGGGGACAAAATCCAGAAGGACGCCCCCTACCAGTGGGCCGCAAAGGGGAAACAAGCCCCAGAACTCCTTGTGGTCCTCAGGCGCGTAGTTCGGCTTGCAAAAGACTGGTGGACACCAACCTGGATCATCAAACTTGACGTGAAGAAGGCGTTCGACAGTGTGTCCCAGGAGGCGCTCGCAGACATGGTCGCCCAGCGTGTGGGGGGACTCCGATCAGGACAGGGTGGCACAGCGGCACAGCGGGGGCCCGTGGGAGGCAAGAGCTTGGCTCTCCCTGCTGGAGGCACGGGGGCTTAACCTGGCCATAGGCGACTCCATCGTACAGATACCCCAAAGCAATGGGGGTGCGCCAGGGCTCCCCAGATAGCCCTGTGCTTTTCAGCCGCATCATCGCTGACGACCTCCAAGCAGCGCTCTCAGAAGCCGAACCCCTCCTCACACCCAACAGGGGACCCCCCCCCTCCGCATTCAGGGGGAGCATTTATGGATGACACGTATCTCTGGAGTCTCTGGGGGTACGACAAAGCGCATCTGCAGTGTGCCCTAGCAAGCCTCGAACGCAGACTGAGAGCTCATGGCCTGGTGATCAATCCCTCCAAAACAGCAGTGATCTTCAGCCAAGAGGAGGGGGGGGGCAGCTTCACCATCGGGGGGGAACAGGTCCACTGCCTCCCATTTGGCACCGTGATTACGGCTTTGGGCTCGCCCATCACCTTTGGGGAATCCGTGGCTGCAATAGTCACTGAGATGAACCATCGGGCCCGGAAGGCGTTCCACAAAAACAGCCGGTTGCTGTGCGCACCCACGCCACTCAAGCGGAGAACCACCCTGCACCAGGGGCTGGTGAGGGGGGCTGCCTTGTGGGGGGGACAAGCATGGCCCATTACAGATGCCATCCTACGTGCCATCAACAGCACACAGCTGCAGCAGATCCGCAGGATGATGCATCCGGGGCGGCGACCGGGGGAGATGGGGGGAGTGGAACGTGCGCACCTTGAGGGGGGCTAGAGTTGCACTTCAGCAAAGCAAAGTCTTACGGTGGAGCACCTTCCAACTGCAGCACACCTGGGAGCTTTACGGGGACATGGCGCGCTCTAAGCATGGGGGGAGGGACATGCTGTTGTGGCGTAACTTGCAGTGGTGGGAAGCAGAGAAGAACAAGCCGAAGAGGCAACGAGCCACGCGCGCGCACAGGTACAACGCTTTTGTCGACCCAGAGCGACAGCTCGTGCACATCGCAACTCTCGAGTGGATGCAAGTCGCGCAAGACAGACAGAGGTGGGCAACACTCGCAGCAGCCTTCGTACAACAGTACGACGTACCATGGGCCACAGGAAAGCAGGGAAGCATACAGAACCTGTCACCCAACCACATGACATGCCGTAGAGGGGGAACAGTAGCGAGTGAGACTGCAGCGTTGACAGCTACCTAAGTCTCAGTTGCAGTGTGCATGGGGGACAGAGTGCCAGTTGTCTGCATGCCAGTTGCCGATCCAGTTGCCGCTCTCCGCCTTTAGCAGTGCTCAGGCTCACGGCAGTACGCAAGTGTGCTCCCAACACGTGCTAGCATGCAGAGGCCTTTGACAGCAGTGTTTTTGTGGTTGCTCTGGCATGCCGAAGCCTCGGTATATAAGCCCAGACCCTCGCCCCCACCTTCCGACCAGCCACAGGAGGCCGACCCCCGAAAAAGGCAGTCCGCAGGGCCCCTTCCACCGCCTCTTCAGCAGCAGCAGTACTGGCAGCCGACGGCAGAACAACACGAGGAAGCCAGCGAAGCACAGCAATCCGACGGGGGGCACCCAGCACACACGCAAGCGACGGCGCAGCCACCACCCTTGCCACAACAGCTTGCACACTGGCACCTCGCACCGCAGCAGCCAGCGACAGCCAGCAGTGACGCCAGCAGCAGCAGCTACCTTCCGGACACAGAAGAGCGTCACGACACCGACCGTGATGACCCACAGGCCATGGGGGAAACCCCACACACCGACGCAAGCAGCAGCAGCGACGAAGAAGAGACCCAACAGTGCCACCCAGCAACATACGGCACCCTTCAACCGAACCGGCTGGGGGCCCGCGACGGAGACCCAGAGGACACAGACGCAGCCGCACGGCGACAGAGGCAGCAGCGACACAGCAGCCCGACAGAACACTCCGCGGCACCATCAACGTGCTCAACATCCACCCGGGAAGGGGGGCCAACCCTCTTACAGCCCCGCCAGAGCTGCCCATCGCACCGGGGGTCACACTTCACATGCGAGCACTGCCCTTCGGAGTGTGGGCCGGCATCACCATGCCCGACAGAGCAACCCACGGCCCAGACTACGGACCGCAACCGGCACGCAGCTACGCACGAGCCAGGCAGCACATCCAACCTACCCAGCCGCTGCCCAACGCCTACATCGGGGTCCACACGGCTTTCACGCTTCTGCCTTGGGGGGACCTTGTGGCGGGGGCACCAGACCGTTGGCTCATGGTCATAACAGCAGTTGGGCGGCATGTCGATACAGACGGAGCAGAACTGCACCCAGGGGAAGCCTACCTCCTTTCATGGGACACAGCAGCGGCAAGATGGCAGCCCAGCAGCCTGCCCCGCAAAGTGGCACATCAATACTACTACGACTGGGGGAGGCAGCAAGGCACCCACCCCATCCAACAACCATACCCACCGGGGGAAACATACCCTCTCGGCCAGTGGGAGCAGATGGCCATGAACTTTATTCCGAACCCAGCCAACACACACCGTTTCGATGCCAGAGGGGGGGGACCTGCAGCCAGACCCAGCCCCACCCCCCGACCCACACCAGGCCCAGCAGCTGTGACAGAGCCGCCCACGCCAGCGCCTGACCAGGACCACCCGTCCTTCATGCAGCGCCGTGACATAGCCAGCACTCAGCTAGATAGTCAAGTAGGACAAGCAAGCCATGGAGAGGGGCGACCTGTGCAAGCCCTTCCGCAAGAAGTGGCGCAGATGCTGCGCTGGCTCCGAGAGCTAGCGGCTTGGGGGGAGGAGAGGCAGATGCCCATGCCACTCCGCTACGAGCTGGAAAGTGCCATTGCAGTCTTCGAAGATGGCCTCCAGCAAGTGCAGCAAGCCCAGCCGCAGAGGGGGAAGAAGAGGAAAGACAACTCGGTCCGTGCAGCAAGACTGCGACTCCTGGACCTGTGGCACGAAGAGGACGAGGTCAATGGCTTCAACCAGCACCAGCTCTACGAGGACCTCAGAGTGGCACTGCAGCTGCTCCGTGAGGGGAACAGCCACTTTCACCAAGCAACTGCAGGGCAGGGGGGCAACCTGCTCAGACATGGAACAGTGGGGCTTCAACAAGCAATCGCGGCGGTGCAAGAGGCGCAGGCATTAACAATGGAAGGCGACTTAGACTGGTGCTCGGGCAGTTGGGGAGCGGCTGTCGGGGTGCTCTTGGAAGATGCGGAGCAGGCCGTGGACGAGGCAGTGGAAACCAACTACGTCCACTGCTCGGACGTGCTGGCGCTCTACAGCGGGGGGGACGAAGCGCCACAGCGTCCCCAGGACCACCAGGCCCGCTTGGAAGCCATCCTGGGGGACATCAGACGTTCCTTGGGGTTTCTTACGGCCAGACAGCACGCTCAAGTTCTCAACATCCTGGCTATGATGGCGATGTGGCAAACGCAGCAGGGGGCCGACTTGGTGGACACCCAAACCACGGACGAGGGGGACGAGAAGAACCAGCTGGCAGAGAGGGCGAGAAGCAGCTGGCAACCGCCACTGGGAGCTGAACACTGGCTGGGCAGTCTTCCAAGTTCGGGGGACAACGGACGAGACGAAAGAAGTACCGAAGACGAAGGGGGGCCAACAGATGCCGACCTCATCAATGCCATGGAGGAGTACGAACGACGACAAGCAGAAGAGGCAGCAGAGCAAGCGGAGAGGGAAGCAACTTCACTTTTCACCTGGCGCCGCACTGAAGGGGGAACGAGCAGCCACCGTAGGCGTAGGATGCACTCGGTCTTTGAAGGGGCGCCGTGAATGTTTAATATTATCATGTCACATGGGGGTCAGTTTTTTCCTTGCGCCTTCAAGGCCACAGAAGAGGGCACGACCGAGCTTGATAACTAGTCCTGAGTGGGGGTCTAGCGTGTTTCGAAACGTTTCAGGTCTGAGCCTCAGAGTGCATACCTCAGGTCCAGTCGGCAGCGAGCCCAACAACTAAAGTTTTTGATAGCCGTGTGTTTGCAGTGCTTCTTAGGGGGGCAAGGCCTGGACCTCAGTCTGTAGTGCGAGCAACAAGGGCATGCTGTACAGGAAGCTCCGTCGGGGAAGTAAGCAGTTACATGTTGCCAGTGTTGTTGTTGTCTTGCTTGGGAGCACAAGACGGAGCCTCACGTGCTGTCAGAGCAGCAATACGCTGCCGGAAGGGGCACAGAGCATGCGACACCCTCAGTTGCAGATGAGGCGGGGGGTTACTTAGTTCGTTCAGGGTCGGGGGATTTCCGGTGCAGACCTCCTGCCTCATCGGCGCCGTAGTTACAGACAGGACGCAAGACCCAGTGCGCGCCCGCGCGCGGGGAGGGGGCATGCGCGCTCTCCCTTGACTGTGCTGAAGAAGAGAGAAAGAGAGAGAGAGAGAGAGAGAGAGAGAGAGCAGCCTCAACCAATGGCTTAAGGGGCATAGATATGCTTCAGGTTCTTCTGTTTCCGGTGTTCAGGTTGTATTTGGCGAGAGCACTGGCAGGCTGCGGGCAAGCCACATAAAATCTCAAGTCTTCAACTGCCCGAGTTTGGGCTCTGTTCGTGACTCCGAGGCTGGCGACTCCTCCTTCAGTACCAACCCCAATGTCGTGCAGGACCCGGCTTCTGTTTTGTTTCCGGCCTTGGCAAGTTGGGTTCCTGTGGAGTGCAGGTAGGACCGGGCGCATCCTGCAAGGATGCTGCGGAATCGAGCACTGGCCTAATATAGGGGCCTTAATAATCAGAATAGGGTTTGGGGTATAGTATACTATATAGTTATAACAAGGAACCCCCAAAACCCTATTCTAATTACTAGGGCCCCTGCATGAGACTGAGCGTCTCAGGACGTCGTATTCTTGCGAGACGACTGTGAGAAGCCTTCGGCGCTGTGTGCCCTCCTGTGACCTGCAAGCAAATGACCATAGGCCCCATAGTAGTTCCTTTTTGTGGCTTATATTTAGAACCCTATAAGGTAATCCCAAAAAGGAACTACTTAGGGGCCTGTGGGCAGGGCCATGTGTTCACAGGTCAGGGCCTGCTGCCAAGCCACGCGAAGTAGGCATCTTGTTCGATGACTGCCCACGGCTGTGCTGGGCACCGGCCCTTGAGTCCTTAAGGTAACCGGCATTGTGAGGCCGATGAGCCAACCCCTTCAGGCGCAAGCGCAGCAAAGCTTCAAACCTTCAACACCCAGCCCGATGCGAGGAAAGGGAGGAAGAACGTTAAAGCGATCGTCTTCGTCGCCACGAAGAGAACCTGCCAGCAGTTGGAGAGGAGCCTACGAGGTGCCAGATGCTGGAGATTCACAAATTGCAACATCTCGTTTGCTTTAGGGTCTTCCGATTAAGGTTAGAGTATTGACAATTTGGTTGCGAAAGTTGCAAAGACATCGGAGAACAAGTTTCATGGTTTACACGTTAGCTTAGAGCTAAATGGGCCAGCCGGAAAGAGTCTGGCGAACTCCTTATGTAGACATTCTCCACTTGTCTCTGCTTTCTCCCCGCCCCTGCTAGCAATCTGATCTCAAGCCTGCACTCGGCACATAGAATTCACCATCTACCTGGCCACCTGGATAGACAAGATCCGATAAAGGAAAAACTAATCCTTCAAAGGAGGCAATGCACGTGCGTGTTGTGTGCCTGCGTGTGCATGAATCTCGTGATGGTTCTGCTGATGTTGGGTACAGGTTTGGGAAGTTCATATAGAAGGACATGTCTCATACAGAAGTCAAAGCCACAGAAATTACTTCTAGAGTTGTTCTCCCAGTGCGGAGTGGTAGGTGGCTTCGAGTTGATGGCTGTTGCGCCAGGCCGAGTGCCTTTAGTTTGTGACGCAATCCACGGCGATCGAAACCAGCGAGATCGCGAGGCTCGGTTCTTACATCTAAATACCATTATGCAGGCAGTTTACCCAATAAGCTCTTCGAATGGCTTCCCAGCAAAGGAGGTTTGGGCCATATCCGAAACTCCTCAAGCATCCTGTGCCACAGGAGGTTTCGGACATGAGATGTCGATTCAGGGTCATGAGGATCCTGTTGGGGTTCAGCCACTCTGAATTCTTCAAGTCATGGAGGTTTCCGGTGTCTTGCCCCCTCCTTTGCAGTACCGGGTTTGAATCATCACCACTATTCGTTTTTTTAGCATTCCATGATATAGCTAAGCCCGAACCTCTCCAACATGGTCCAACAAGCCCCAATCCTAAGTTTGGGGGGCTTCAGACAGGGCTGCTGGGTTTAGGAGTTTAGGGTATTTAGGCTTCAGGGAGGGTTTAGGCTTTATAGGGTTTAGGGTTTAGGGTAGTTAGGCTTTAGGGAGGGCTCAGGATCCAGAATTTAAGCCGCAACTGACCCCGAAAAGACCGAATCGAAGCTGGCGGAGCCTCTTGAAACCGCAAACTTCGGGTTCTATCTAGGGTTTAGGGCTTAAGGGCTTAAGGGTTTAAGGGTTTAGGGCTTTAGGGGCTTAGGGTTTAGGGGTTTAGGGGTTTAGGGTTTGGGGGTTTTAGGGTTAAGGGTCAATTGAGTAGGGTTTCGGGATCTAAAGATGACTGCAAACGACATGAAACGAACCCTGAGGCATACTGTACTATCTGGGCTTAGGCACAGTAGGAGTAGCATTTGGTGGAGGCCTCCGGTTTCCAGCGTTCCTGGAGCGCAGGCTGTTCTGGACCATTTCCGGAGGGGCCAGGTGCAGGACGGGACCGCGGCAAGTTTCTGGTTTTGTAGGGCTGCTTACACGGGGCTCAGGAGTTTGTGATCGTAGTCTCAACTTGTAATGCTCCGACGAATTTTAAGTTCATGGGCTGTTTCAGCCCTACGCCCGAAGCACACTGCCCGCCCTGCCCCGGCTTCGGCCCGGCATCCTCTTGACTTGAACCGTATCGCACAAGGTCCTGCTCGCCACGGATGTGGCCGGGCGGGGGATCGACGTGAGCAACGTCAATCTCGAAGCTCGGTCTGTCCATTATCAGAGCTTCCCCCTTCTATGCGCCTTTCCCAACGGGTGTGATCCGTGTTATGGTATGAGAATTCCCCAATATTAGGAAATCCTCCTGAGCTCTCCAGCTAGAAGCACACAACCCAGCAGGTGGTCAACTACGACTGCCCTCGTAATGCCGAGGACTACATACACCGCATGCTGGCTGCAAGAGATGGTTTCGCAAACCCCGCCAATCTTGCATTGGCAGTCGTTGGCAGTCGGTTTAGTTCTTCTTGGTATGACTCTGTTGATGGCAGGGACGGTGGGTGAAGCAGGAGGCCATGATCATGACGAAGCCGATGACTACACCCGCGGTGGGGATGATGATGATGATGATGATCATCATCATGAGGATGAGGATGAGGATGATGATGATGATGATGATGGTGATGGTGATGGTGCTGGTGATGGTGATGGTGCTGGTGATGGTGATGATGACAGTGATCGTGATGATTGTCGGAAATAAGCGAATTTGGTGATGATGTCAGTAGTAGTGTGATCTTCTTTATGGCCCCGACTTGAGGAGCCGAGAACCTACTTGCGAGCCGAGGGCCACTGGCAAAGTTCTACTAGGGGCGCCGGAACGATATGAATAATTACCAACCTTACTCCTTAAGTTTCCTTACAAAACTACTGAAACATGACCTGGAAGCTCCAAACGCCCACGGCTTGCCGGTGCATCTGCAGCCAGGTATCGGTCGAACCGGCCGGCAGGGGAGCCTCGATCCAAAGAAGCCGTGGAATTGTGGTGAGCGTGGGAAGTGCGTAATTATAGAAGCCAGAATAGTAGTTGCCAGTATCATTCCTAGGGTTCTTATTGTACTGTATACGAAAAAGAGGGTCCCCAAACCCCATTCTAACGTTTACAGCCCCTACAGTATGTGTGCGTTGTTGTCACTTCGGTGGCTTGCGGCTTTGGGAGCCGGGCTCCTTGGTGTTGTTTTTGCATTAAGTCACTAAAACCTGAAACCCCTACAGAACCCTTAAAGGATCCCTTACAAGACCCCTGAAGGATCCTTCTTATGGTAGCTGAAGGATCCCGCTATTTCGGCGTACAGTTTAGGGAGTTTCGGGTTCCGAAACAATAGAGCTCATGCCTTGCAAGCACAGGTTCTGTCCGAAGACTGTTTTGTCTCTCTGGGTTGGAAATTTGTATCTATACTCTCCGTTGTAGTTCCTGTTTTGGTTACCTTTTGGGATCATTAAGCAAAATTTGTACCAACAAAGGGCTACGATGGAGACTCTTGACTATAGGTATCAACACTCCCATGCTCTGCGTTTTGTTTGGTCGATCTCCTTGTTCATTGCAAAGCAACCTGGCAATGCTTGAAACAATGGCACGGGCGTCACTCGGTGTTCTTCGTGAAGATGTGCTAAGATCGAACACGTGTGGGGGGATTTTGCCCGTCAAGGGGGGCCCACGTGGAAACCTGGACTGCCGAGGCGTCAACGCAGTTACGATGTCTGGGGTGTGGTATGCATAAAGAGTCCGCTTCTTATTGCTTCTTGTCAGCCACCTTCCGAACCTGTACGCGTGTGCGTGGGGTCGGCAGGTAGTGGAGGCCTTCAGGCGAGAGTGTCTGCAGCAATCCGAGGAAAGGCGTGGCCATTTCCATCCTGACCGACCGTGAGCAGGATGCCATGGAGCTCATAGCTAACGTGATCGAGAAGGCCACAGCAACATTTTCGAAGGTTTTCCAGTCTGCTTCTCAGTGAGTCTCCTTGGCTCCAATGCATCCCGCAAGCCAGATCTCCCTCAAGCTTCGCTTCCCATGAAATCGGGCTTTCCTGAACCCCGAGAGCCGACAGCTTCGAGTTGGA